GATTTAGAAAAATCAATGCTTGAACAATTGGACGGAGTTGTTAAAAGTAACAGTAAAGGTGGACATGTTGTTATTAACGATTGTGTTATAAGAAATGTAGATCGTGCATTCGGTACAAGACTCAGTTACTTGGTTGGTTATTACTATTTTTGTTGCCATTAAAATGTTTTTTCCGTGAGCAGCTCACAGAGATGTTTGTGAATCGGAATCTGTTTGACGCAAGTGTGGATTTATAGAGAATTGCTGAACACTCAGTGAAAAAAAAACACGAAGATAAATAAACTTCTACTCAGACGTTTTGAAATCAATGTCGATAACTCTCTCAAGCATATTTTCAGTATGAGATCGCTGATTCGTCCAATAAACATTTGTTAAGGATGTGTTTGAGAGGAAGGGGATTGAAAAATGTTTCATGAGGTCAACGGTTATTGTATGTAGTATGGAACAATGAAAAATGTTGAAGATTTCAAAACAATTCGGAGAAGAGGGATTGGATGCGAGCAGATCAATACGCATCAATTTGAGTGGTCATGCAGGTCAAAGTTTCGGTGCAATGCTAGCCAAGGGAGTGACGTTATACCTGGAAGGTGATGCGAATGACTACGTCGGAAAGGTGGCTCGTTTTCATTATTTACTTATTGTTAACAGCAACTCATCAGTACCCTCCTTCACACAGAACTAACAGCAAATCATCAACTTCCATTTCGATCATTGATTCAGCGATCAGACTGATGTATAAACACTACTTTATTACACCACCTATTGAAAGGAGCTCGAAATAAGCCATTCCGAAAGTATTGAAGGATTAAAAGTTATTTTTAGGTGAACAACAAATAATTATTTCAGTTGTACATTATCGTTTCATAGCTAGGCAACAATATTTTGGCATTAATAGCGAATGTCGTATCCATCAACCGTTCATTTATATATTTATTGCAGTGTTTGTCTGGTGGCAAAATTATTGTTCGACCACCGAAAGATGCCATATTCAAGTCACATGAGAATACAATCATTGGAAACGTCGCGTTGTATGGAGCCACTTCAGGTGGCTCACTGTGTTATTATCATTATTTCTGTTGCCATATTAATTATTTCTATTAAGATTTTTGTCATNTGTCATTAAGATATGACGTCGATGCTAGTATTAAAAATGAATGGAACAATTTAGGAGAAGCATTTTTCCGTGGTATCGGAGGTGAACGATTCGCAGTTCGTAATTCGGGAGCGATCGCAGTAATCGAAGCTGTTGGTGATCACGGATGTGAATATATGACTGGTGGTCGTGTGGTCATCCTTGATTGTATTGGTCGCAACTTCGCTGCCGCGATGTCTGGTGGACTTGCTTATATTCGGGATGTGTAAGTGATTGTTATTGTATATGACGCTCAATTCTTCATTGTTGTACTTGTAGAGGTGGCAAGAGTACGAGCAAAATCAATATGGCAACTATCGATTTGGATGAGCCAACTGAAGAGGATCTCAAATGGATTCGTGTTAAGATTGCAGAGTTCGTCGATGAAACTGGTTCCGAGTTGGGTTCTCAAATACTTGACAATTGGCAACGAGAACATGCGAACTTCATCAAGGTTTTGATGTTTCATTTATGTCATCTATTATGAGTAGTGCTGCTTCTATTCCACGTTTTTGAAAGCTGTTTTATTCTGTTCCTTTCCTCTCCAAAAACGACTCTCTTCTGTTATATCCTGTGCGTCCTTGGTTTGAGACCTGTTCTATTCTATCCGATTCTTTCTCCTTAAACTGTGCTGTGCTGTTCCGAACTATTCTATTCTGTTCCGTCAGTCAGAAAAGTGGCACGATAAAGACTGTGGTAATTAGGGTTGGAATCATGGTTTTTTTTGGCGTTTTCAAGGCAAAGTGGAAATTATTTCGGGTGGTAGAAGGTTGTCCACGCAGGTAGTTGACAGCTTTTGACCGTGATAGTTGGAAGAAAACGGTGGGTTTTGGGCTCAACCAGCATGATTGAAGAACAGAGGATTCTTGTTGCGTCTCAACAGTTCGGTTAGAAACTGATGCAAGGCTTCTCGTACTAATGAGTTTGGATTGAACTGATTCGTTCAGTCGGACTCAAATCCTCCAAGCGTAAACTTTTATTGGAGGCGTAAGATGTGATCAATTTCTGTAATAGCTTGCTCCCAAAGTTTAGAGTACGACCAACATTTGAAGTTAGGGTGTTCGTTCGGAAACACAGTTGCATCTTTAGTTGTTTCTTGAGGGAAAACCTCACAAGCAGTCTTTGGCAGTTTTCAGAATAAACTGCGATAAGTTGCCCTTGATGAATTGTTTCGTCTCTCCCTGATGGCCTTTCTTCTCTCCCAAGTGATATTGAATAGGTTTTTTGGTGGTTAACAGCTACTAGCATTTAATTACATGAGAAACTATTTCTCCGCCATCCTTGCAGAAGCCTCAAACATCTTCCAGCCACCTAATTATAATCCATGATTTGACAAAAGAGTCGTAGCGCAATAATATACGAAAAAAACAGCAACAGTAGTAACAGTAAATCATATTAATAAAAATTGTAAATAGTAATTAATAATACTACGAATGAATAATAGTAGGTAAAATGAAAATAGTATTAATAAAAGCAATAATAATAAGGAGAATGATAATAAATATTAATAGTTGAAACAATAATAATAAATAATAACATGAATAAATGACAATAATGAAAACAGTAATAATAAAAATAGTAATAATAATAACGATAAACATAATAATAATAATAATAATAATAATAATATAACAATGATGATTTATCTCTCTGCAGTCGTTACTTGAACAGTTTAAGGAACAGTCAAATTCTATTGAAAACTGTTCTATCCTATTGTTTTGGGCTCAAAAGCGGCTCTATTCTATTCTATTCTGTGAGTTCCTCATTTGCGAACTGTTCTATTGTATTCCTTGGAATAGAACGGGAATAGAATAGTTTAACTGGAATAGAGACATTACTAATTATAAGACATTTATGATAGAGGTAAACGAAAAACTATGAATGTATATTCCTGTCTGGAGTATATGGAGTATGAATGTATATGGAGTAGTATTATTGTGTTGCTTGATTTATTATTATTATGTTTCGTTAAAAAGAAGTGTTTGGTTGTTGATTCATGCAGGAGTACGTAATATGTATGACAGATGATGATTTGCAGATATTTCCGAAAGATTATAAACGAGCATTGGATGAGATGGAAGCGGCACGACTTGCGAAAGAGGCTAAACTTGCAAAATTGGCGCAAGAGGCGAAAGAAAAGGCTGAAGCACTAGCCGAGGCTGAAGCCAACGCTGAAGTCATTTTGCTTTCTTGTTTGGTCATCATTCTTCTTTTACCACTTACTGTAATTCAGTTTGAAATAGAGTGTAATCAATTATTTGCTGCAGAAGGATAATGAGGAAGAGGAAGCAGTAATACGATCAACAGGAACACGAAATCGTTCATTATCAATGGATATGCAAATTTCCATTGAACCATCCCGAC